TGAGCCCAGGAGTTGGAGGTTGCTGTGAGCTGAGATGCCATGGCACTCTACCCAGGGGGACAGCTTGAGGCTCCTGTCTCAAAAAAAAAAAAGAAAAAGAGAGAGAGAGAGAGTCACATTATATTGTCCAGGCTGATCTCAAACTCCTGGGCTCAAAGGATCTTGATCCTCCCACCTCTGTCTCCTGAGTAGCTGGGACTACAGGTATGCCCCACTGGGTCTGGCCTAGCAGAATTTTAATGGCCGATAAAAGAATTCTGTAAACTTTATGCTAATAATTTGAAAACTTTGACAAAATAGATACATTTCTAGAAAAATTTAATAAAACTGACTCAAGGAGAAATAGTCATAAAACTATAAAAGAAATTGAAATAGCTTAACATTTTCCACAAAAACCAAAAAAAAAAAAAAAATACTCCATCAAGCCATATAGTTTTATTTTTTTTGAGACAGAGCCTCAAGCTGTTCCCCTGGGTAGAGTGCCGTCACATCACAGGTCACAGCAACCTCCAACTCCTGGGCTCAAGCGAGTCTCCTGCCTCCGCCTCCCAAGTAGCTGGGACCATAGGCACCTGCCACAACACCCGGCTATTTGGTTGCAGACGTCATTATTGTTTTGGCAGGCCCGGGCTGGATTTGAACCCACCACCTTTGATGTATGTGGCTGGCGCCTTAGCCACAGGCACCAAGTCCCCATATAGTTTTAAAAGTGAATATTTTTTTCCTTTTTGAGACAGAGTCTTACTCTTTTGCCCTGTGTAGAGTGCCATGGCCTCATCATAGCTCACAGCAACCTGAGACTCCTGGACTTAAGTGATCCTCCTGCCTCAGCCTCCCCAGGTAGCTGGGACTATAGGTGCCCACCATGATGCCCTGCTAACTTTTCTATTTTTAGTAGAGATGGGCTCTCAATCTTGCTGAGGCTGGTCTCAAACTCCTGAGCTCCAAAAATCCCTGTGTTTCTTTTAGATTGTTCTTACTGATTTGTATGAGTTCTTACGTTGGGTCTCTAAGTGTTCATTGCCTTGGCCTCCCAGACTGCTAGGATTACAGGCATGAGCCATTGCACCCAGCCTTAATAGTGAATTTAAACCAGACTTTTCAAGGAACAAGTTATTCTAAACTTAGACAGAATTTTCGAGAGAATAGAAAAAGATGGAATTACAAATCATAAAAGATTGATAAATTGGAGTTTATTAAAATTGAAAACTTGGGGCGGCGTCTGTGGCTCAAGGAGTAGGGCGCCAGCCCCATATGCCAGAGGTGGTGGGTTCAAGCCTGACCCTGGCCAAAAACTG